GTAAGATGATGCCGATGACTTGGTGTTGATGTTTGTGTGTAAGATGATGACGATGCCTTGGTGTTGATGTTTGTCTGTAAGTTGATGACGATGCCATGGTGTTGATGTTTGTCTGTAAGATGATGACGATGCCATGGTGTTGACGTTTGTCTGTAAGAGGATGATAATGCCCTGGTGTTGATGTTTGTCTGTAAGCTGATGACGATTTCCTGGTGTTGATTTTTGTCTGTAAGTTGATGATTGCTTTCGACTATTCGAAACCAAAATTTGCGAGTATTATCAAATCTACAACGTAAATGCTGTCAGTAGTGGACCTAAGATCGATCCTTGGAGAATACGCTTTCGAGAGCCCATGCCATGTTAAATCAGTCTATTGTCGTAATAGCTTGAGTTCCTGTAGGCAAAGTTTTTTGAAAGTATGTAATTCGCCTAAGTTTTTTTCTTTGTTACATTTCTTTCTTTTTCTTTTTAGTCTGTAAATCTGTATTTTAATCCGTCTAATTTAAAATAAACCAACTTGTTTCTCCTACCGAATTAACAATATTTTTTCCGCTCTTATACGGTATAGACCTGTCTTGTCTTGTCATTCACTTCACTAAGATTACAATAGTCTATTTCCGCATGCATTGAGCGGCTAGCAGCAGAAAGCTGAAGGACTGCCCTGAGTTTTTTGACAATCGTTCTAGAGCAAAGCAAACCTCATTTAGAGCTGAATTAACAGCATTTAAAAGTGTAATTCAATATCGTAGAATTCTAGAATTTCATTGAAGCCATGGAACAGACACAATGCGTTACCAAAGTAGAACTCCACATCTCTTGTCGAGGTCTGATAGATAAAGATGTTCTGAGCAAATCTGATCCTATAGCGGTGTTGCTAATGCAAGATAAAGATGGTCGATGGTTTGAGGTAAAGCAATTCTATCACTTAGTATAATTCTATCATTTTTAGTCATTACTCTTGTCTAACATTAAGAATTTATGCTGTCGCCCTACATCACCTCTCAGTAGCAATATAGAACCAGCAATATATGCTCAGTATTGGAACGATATATTTGCTATCATTTTTTGGCATATAATTACTCAGTAGTGTATAGGTGTCAGCCAACAAGTGCAACTGAAAGTGAATACATCTGAGTTATGATTTAAATGACGAGCAAAAAGACTATACTTTTGTTATCGGAGCAGGCAAGTCAATTCCATTGCGCGCACGGAAATCACTACAACAATTTGAGATCTTTGAGCACTGAAAGATGTAGGACTTCGGCTTTCATGTAAAAATAATATTCAGTCAATAAACATTGTAATCCGGAACGCTTTAACAATATCTGGTGTTGAATTACAGTACCACTGGAAAGTTTTTTTTTATGATGCCAGGGGTCAGGGGGTAGTTCTCTAATCCTTAGAAATGCAGCAAAACCGCGATATTTACCTCGCTACTCATTACTCTGTTTTTGATCATTTTATTCTTCTTTTTATTTTTTTCTATTAAAAGGGTTAAAGTTTATTCACATTGCTTATGAACATTATATATATATWTWTTTTTTCTTCTTCTTCTTCTTCTTTCTTCACAGTATGCAAGAACAGAGCACGTGAAAAACAACTTAAACCCTGACTTCTCCAAATCCATTTCGTTGGACTACTATTTTGAAATGGTCCAAAAACTCAAATTTACTGTGTACGATGTGGACAATGAATCAACAGATCTGGATGATGATGATTTTCTTGGTGGAATGGAATGTACTCTTGGTCAGGTAAGGGGACTATCGCACAACTCGACAAACAACACCAGCACGGAGCAAAAAGCAAAGTGTCCGGCTGTATTTGAGGGGGCAGGGGTGGGAAAGGGGTCGCTAGATTCCCTGACCCCCCGTCTTTTCTATTAAAAACTCTTGCTTATCTGGTCATGTTTGTGGATGGCAATTATAGTTTGGGCCTTTCTTGTAGGTCGTTTCCAAGAAGACATTTACCAAAGAACTGGAAATCAAGGAGAAAAAAGCTGGAACAATAACAGTAAGTCTCGTATAGACCCCTTGTACGTGACGTCAAAGCAGCTCAACTCGGAGGACAAAATTAATTAAGATAATTTCAATCTCGTGAGAATGGGACAATTCTTAATGGCGATTTTCAAACAAAGCTTATAATGCAAAACTCAGGAATTCTCTCGGAGGAATTTCTCCCAACAAAATTATAGATGTGTGTTGTTTTTGTTTTGTTTTTTTCTTATTTTTTTTTCTTTTTTCTCCCTTTTACATAATTACACAGGTATTTGCTGAAGAAGTCTCAGGAACAAGCGATCGCGTTAAAATAGCCTTCACTGCCAAAAACCTTGACAATAAGGTAAATTTGTAAAAAGGGGAGTAGCTCCTCTACTTCAAAGTTTTATATTTGCCAACAGTTACTGTAGGAAACGAGGACTCAATACATGAAGGCGTTTAATAAAATACTTGAACGTAGTGTAATATTACAAAGCCACCAGTTCCTAACAAAATAAATAAATACAAACTACTAAATATGACAAACCAAAGGTATAAGCAGATAACGAACAAAGAAAAACAAAACGAAAAATACTTACAAATACATTAGTCTTACGCCATGAAGAAAAAGACACTTACGAGAGAACCAAAAAAACGTTCTCTAAAACAAGTAGGTCCTCGCTCCTACCGATACTAGTTGCAACTGAAAAATCTAACCAAGCGCAAGTACTTAACTTAATATGAATACATTAAAACACTGCACGAAAACACGAAACTATGCGAACAATAACAATGGAAGAAAAAAGCGCCCTTTGGACGTAACAGTTACTGTCTGTTTTCTTCTAGCTCTTTCGTAGCTCTTTCCTTATAAAAGACGCGATTACTCGGTGCATTTTTCTCTGCAACTTGCCTCGAAACGGCGTTGCGACACAAGTTGCAAGAGTGGTATGACTCAAAATACCTTGAGATATAAATAACTGAATAGAAGAGCCGCCTTAGGCCTTTTCTGAGTTCGATAAACAGGGTGTATTGTGGTCTGGCTTAGGTACAAACAGCACCATATAAGGCATGATGAACAAAAGATGTTTTTACTGAAGCTAGATCACAATGCAGTATTTTCGCTATCTCAGAAAAGGTCTATGTTGGTTGATCTAAGAAAAGAAACTAACAAGGAATGCTTTATCATCGTCAACCAACATGGTAGCTATGACGTAAAATGCACCAAAAGGATAGTGTATTGGGAATTCCCTATGATATACCAAATTTGATACGTTAGTATTGTGCAAATATAGAAACTAATACGTGATAAAGTGCATACCATTTATCCGTAAAAAAGTTAACTAACAAAATTGTACAAATTAGTGCAAAGTTTCGTAGGTCTACGGTCTACTGCGGGCTATGAATGTTTTTCACGGATATAGGATATGCACTCTATGAATTTGTCAGAAAGTAAACTTAACGAATTGTTTTATATTCCTCATCAGGATTTTCTGAGCAAGTCGGATCCTTTTTTGGAGATCTCGAGAATGAAAAGTGATGGTGGTTTTGTATTGGTTCATAGAACTGAGGTGAGGCAAAGATATATGGCAATGGGAGTTTTCCCCATTTCAGACCACGTATCATTCTCTTAAGAATACCATTGGTTTGTCAGTTATGTCCATATTCATGTGTCTTCTCAAACAAAGAATCTTATTCTCTAGAGAATGAAACGTGGTCTATAATGGGAAAACATGACAATAGATAGCGTATCTTGATAGCGTATGTCACGTTAGACAAATGAATGATACTCTAGAGAATGAAACGTGGTCTATAATGG